GGACATGAAATTGAAAAAAATCCGGAAAAATTGCCACGTAGGAATGGCGCCCGCTGCCGTGGCCTAGGTTTCTCACTGAAAATCCTCGTCACCTTTTTTTGAATTTTCTTCCTTTTCAACGCCGTTTTTCGGAGATTTCGGATTTTTTTTTGAATTTTTCGCAATAATATTCGGAAAATAGATAACTTTTAACACATTTTAATGCAATAAAAATTTTTGGTCGGAGTCCCCCCTTTAAGTTATAGACAGCTCTTATAATACAGGTTGTTAAAAAAAGCAAGAGACAAAAAAAACTGAAAAAATATCTATTAAGTTGGAAAGAAAGTAACTATCCACTTTTTCATTAGTTAGAAAAGATTACCGTAAACACTCTAATAGAACACCACCCACACCATCAACTTTGAGTCCGTTTTTTCCTATTCCTGTGAGAGGTGTCAAAAAGATATCAACTGATAAAATGTGGATGATATTTCGATAAACATTTTGTCAGTTGATTAAAGACTAAAGTCGAGAAAAAAACCGATTTTAATCTCAAGATTTTCGGCTTACTATCGAAGAATTCTAACTGAGGTAGGTTGTCATTTTGGAGGGTGTAAAACATACCGAGAATGAAAACTTTGCCAGAGTTTTTTTTGGAAAATTCCTAGTTTTTCAGTCAAATGTCGATTTCTGAAGAAACCTGTGTTTCCACGTTTTCATCACAAGAACAGACCAAAAACGGGGTCTTTCAGAAATCAGCTAATAGCTGAAAAACTAGGAATTCGAGGAAAATTCTTCGAATGCAAAGTTTCCAATCTGAGTTTATATGTACCAAATAGGGTGCGTGGTCAATATCACGCTAGTCAGAATTTCATGACTTTGTGTACAAAATGACTGTCAAAAATAGTCAGTGGGGGCCCCCCGGCCGTNCCAACTTTTCNGANNNNTTTTTCCAAGAAACCGCGGCCGGCCCAGGCTAGCCGTGCGGCTTNTTCCGGCCTTTTGGAAAATTGTTTCATGAGAAACCTAGATTTTTTTTTTTGAAAGTAGGACAAAAAAACGAAATTATTCAAAAACTAATAGATTTTCACTTCACGCGTTTTCATGAGGCTATCCGCGGCCGGCCTCGGCTAGCCGCGGCTTTTCCCGGCTTTCACAAAAAAGCCGCGGCCGGCCTCGGCCTCAAAAATCGAGCCGCGGCTGAGGCCGGCCGTGCTTTTTGCACAGCCTTGAAAATAGTCAAAAAGTGAAAAATAGTTTATACGTGACTGTCAAAAGTTTTGAAAAGTTGACTGTGAAAAAAAGTCAAAAATTGCTGGAAGTGTAACTGAAAACTCGTTTAGAAATATGAACGTTTTTTAATACTTATGGAAAAAAAATCAATTAACAAGTAGTTCAACAATCTCCACAACCGCCGATCGTATCGATCTAATCGTCCGACTCATCAGGAGCAATATGCAAGTCGTCTTCACCATCATCATGTAATGCATCACCTTTTTGAATTGCTTTGGAATAGAAATACTGGGAAATTTAAATGTTGTTGGGTACTGCAATTTTCGTTCTTAGAAAAATGGTTAAAATAGTTTAGTTTTCATCTGGACTCGGATTTTCCCTCCACGCTTCAAGTTTCTCCATTCCCGATTTCGCGTGAACAAGCAGCCTCTGTCCTCTTACTCCTCTGTTTACTCCTCTTAATTATTTTTTGTTTCTTGGCAACGACAAAAAAGTTCAGAGGATGAAACCAGGAAATGGGAGGAGAGAAAGGAGTAAAGATTTTACAGTAATCTAACAAGGTTAACTTTTTTGACAAAATTGAAAAAAAAAACATTTTTTGCCATTTGTCAGTCATTTTTGACAGTCACGTAAAAAAGATTTTGACTCAAGTCGACTTTTCCAATTTCCAACTTTTTGACTTTTTGACGTAACCAGATTTTCCATTTTTTGACAAAAGTCATAGACTGTCAAAAATGGTAGTGACCACGCACCCTAGTACCAAATACAAAGTGATTGCAAAATTGACAGCCCACCTCCAGAAGTCGGAGAATGGTGCAAATGATCGAATATCAACTGACAAATATGTTTTTTGTATATCTTACTATTAGTGACCGGTACTGTATCTTTCCTTCAAACACACATCACAAAACGAGGGAGTGTGAGAGGAGAAGAGGCGCAGACAATTGTTTACGAGAACTCAAACCCATGGGATCTACTTGTAGTATGTATAAATTCAGCAGCATATCTCACAAAAAATTTTATATAAAAAGATTTTTAAAATAGAAAGGAATCATCAAAAACTATTTTGAAAATGTTCAAATCTTTCATTTTGATTGCTTTCGTGGCATCTGCTCTTTTTGCGGCTCCAGTTCCAGAGAAGGCCCGTAAGTGTTTTTACAGGACAAACAGACACACGTATAGATTTCATTTTCCAAACTTAAGTTCGAAATTTTTCAAATTTTATGGCGCGTTCAAAGTTGATTTCCGGGAGTAATTTCCTGGAAAAACGCTGTCCAAAGCTGCCATTGTTTTCCAGAGGCCTCCGCTTCGAGACCCGCCGTAAATCGACATGAATCATACAGGAAGAACACAGTCAAAACGAGTGATACAGTAGTTTACTATTGCTGTAAATCTGTAAAACAATCGCAGCTTTAGACAGCGTTTTTCCAGGAAATTACTCCTGGAAATCAACTTTGAACGCGGCATTATGGAACATTTTCAGCGGAAGAATCTCGTGCCGAACTTCTCTCCTACGGTATTTCTCCAGAAGCAGCCGATGGTTTAATTCGAATTGAAACAAAAACTGAGCAATCTGGAGTGAGACCAAATAATTCAGCTGGTAGTCCATTAGAAGCAATTAATGGATTTTTCAAATATTACCAAGATGTTGAATCATTTATGAAGACTCAATCACCAGAAGATCAAGAGGGCGTCAAGAGAATTTTGAAGAAAAAGAAGGCGGAGTTAGATGCGAAAAATGGCGGGAAATTAACAATTTTTGAATTTTTCGTATTGAAATTTGAATTTGAATGAAATACATATTTACCATAATTGCCTATTTGTGAAGTTTTTCATGAGTTCTACAAAAATTGAGAAACATTAAAACATTCATTCAATAATCTCTGAAAATCTCTGAATGCGAAGTTTCCACATTGAAAATGTCGAACACAAACGCCAACTCGGTCCTCGATCGATTTTTATATGCCTCCAACTGAAATTGTTCCTTGTTTTTCAACTTAGAACCATTTGTATAACTTTACCTGTATCATATTATTAATCTTCATCATTTTAGCCAACCTTTTCATGTAATACGGATTGCTCATCTCATTAGTATAATAGTCATGTAAATCATCAGCCAAAATCTGTTGGAATTTTTCGGAAATTCTGAGAATTTCCCCTTGAAATCGTTTTCCGACATATTGGAAACATAATTGAGAGAGCATGAATGATAATTCGATATCTGACGGTTTGAGGTCCAGCATTTCGATTGTAAGGTCGTCCAGGTAGAATTCTGTGGGGAGGTCTAGGAAACTGAAACAAAGAAATGCAAAACATATACAGAAAAAATTCCAGTTTGATTTCACACATTTTGAGCCAAAAATCAGGTTTTTAGCTCAATTAAGTCAATTATAAGATTTTGAAAGCTCTAGGAAATCCGACAATTTAGAAGTTTACAGTAACCAAATAAGTTTTGGGCCGAGGTTCCTAAATCCGCTAATCCAATTTTTCACCACGCTGAGACGTTTAATTTATGCCAAATATCGTTTTTTTTTTGATTTTCAGAAGTTTGGGTTAAAAGGTGCATGGACCCGAAAAATTGGAGAAAAATAAATTTTTGATTTTTAAGTAGGGTATGATTATAATCATTCAAACCGGATTTTTGAGTTGAGCCGAGAAATTAGAAAATTTTTGAGCCCAATTTGAATTTTCAGCCAGAAAAGTTTGGATTTTCAGCTTAAAAACTCACAATTTCAATTCCTCCAACGAATACCTTGTCAACCAGGAGACGTCAATCCTTGTCTTATCAAATTTATATAATAAACTATTCCTTTTCATTTTCCTCAGATTTTCATTTCTCCGGATCTCCATTGCCGTCGTCGCCAGTCTCTCCAGTTTCCACCACAAGTTCCAACAGGCTTGAAAAATTTGAATTTGCAGTTTTGGCGCCAAATCCAGAAATCCATCAAAATGGGTTAACCATTTCGTTACGGTCAGAATTTCGTGTTCGATTTGTGCCATTGATTGGTCCATTCCGTATATCTTTCCGTAATTTGAAGAATTTATATTTTGATTGGTTTTGAGAATTGGGCCGAGGGAAAAAGCCAGTTTTTCAAGAGAGTTTCTGACGAAAATTGGAGATTCTGGACTCTAAAAATATGGATTTTTAGAGAAATTTTGGAACTACTGAAATTACTGAAATTTTGAAAATTAAAATTAATAAAACTGTCAAAGTTATGAAAACCCTTGAAATTTCAAAATTTGTGATATTTTCAGGAAAATATCAGATTTCCAAAAAAATAACTTGTAAATTCAAAATTTTCTGAAAACTTAGGAATTCGAGAAATTTTTCAATTGTTCTAAATATTATTTTTAAGAATCTTAAAATCCTGATATTGGTGAAATTTTTCAGAAATTTTTACTACTTAAAAATGAAATAATTTCTACTAATCCCATACAATTTTAATTGGTTTTCATCTATTTAATAAGATTTTCAGCGAAATTTCAGTCTAAAAATACTGACCCACCTGCTTCATAATCCTCATGGCCTTTTCAATTAAATTCTCTAAATTTATCACACTTTTTACCGAATCACAAGAAGAAGATTTCGAAAAGATAATCAGATTTGATCTACCCAGAAAAGTTCCAACTGTCTGCAAGTTTTCAGAAAAATTTTAAAAATTTAAATTTTTCGAACCTCTGGTATTCTACAAGCCGTATTATGAACGTCACGATTTAGCTGGAAATCTGAAATGTACAATTTTTCAAAGTTCCCGCCAAAATGACCTACTTTCCGAGCTCATTCCAACATCATAACACTTCTTTAGCCGACAAAATTTACATTTGAAATACCCATTTTTAGTTAGAAAGTCACATTTTTGGTTCATTCTACATTTTTTGGGGTATGGAGACGTTAGAGCTCTTCTGAAAATTCGATAAAAAATGGAAAATGCAAATTCGCTCTGTTGGACTATACCTAAAGAATGCCGCACAAGCACGACAAACTTGGGCGCCGTAATGGTACATTCCATTTGATTCAGATCCACAGACATGACAAAGGGATTCGGAGTTTTTGAGCATTTTCAAATTCAAAAAATATTTTTGGTTGCGAAATTTCAACAGAAAATTAATGAGAGAGTGAGAGAAAGAGAGACGGAGACAATTAGAACAAATGTATCCTTTGGAAAAGACAATAATGAAAAAGTTGACGTCACTGGTGATAAGAAACGTTTGATGATTATTAGAAGGATGGAGTTTGATGAGTAGTTTGAAAAGCAAATTTTTGAAAAATCTTCAATTTTCAAAAAAAAAAAAAAAATTAAGTGGAAATTCCAAAAATAGATCTTGTTTATCTGATCAGTTAATGAGATCACTTACTTCTCTTGTTTTTTCCCTCAATAATGTTTTTGTCTATAAAATACCCTGAGAAAATGTGTGTTGACATCATTCATTTAAAAAATGTACAATAACTTATTAATTTACTCTACAATTGCTGTATTAGTGATTGGGGCTCCTAGCCGACCGAAATTGGAAGGTAAGACAATTTTTTTTTTTGAAATTTCGAGTTATGTGAAAAAGTTTATTTACATTTTTGGTAAATTTTCAGCTATTTTTTGAAACATCCGTAATTTTAAAAATGATGAAAAATAGATTTTTTTCAAATTATCGTTCTCGACGAATCTGAAAATTTGGTTGACTTTAAAGTTGATAAACTTAATAAATTTTCAGAATTTCGCAATTCCAAAACTCCGAAATTCGGAAATCGAAAAACTCAGAAAATCAGAAATTCAGAGTTTTAGAAATTTAAAAAAATTTAAAAAAAAATAAAAAAATAAACCGGATATTTGGAAAATCAGAAACTGGTGAAATTTGAAAAAATAAAACTTTTTTAATAATGTTTTTTCTCGATCAATGTAGGTATTTTTGACAAAATTTTCAATCAGTTTAAATTATTTTTTCAAATTATCCATAACTTTTTTCCAGGAGATGAATATCGTGCCGAACTAACAGCAGCTGGTCTCTCGATAAAATCCGTCGAAGGATTGGTAAAAATTGGTGCATCTGCAATCGATGATTTCTCAAAATACGGAAAAACGCCAAGTTTCGAAAATGCTTTGGAGGCAGTGACAAAACTGATTTCAGATACTGAAAAGTTCATGAAATTACAAACGGAATCCGATCAAAAAGCGTATGCCGCGTACTTGGAAAAGAAGAAAAAAGATAATGATAATTGATTTTTCAAAATTTGCAAAAAAACATTTATTTTCAATAAAACTTTTAAAAACTTTCTAGAACCTGGAAGAAATTCAGAAATTCAGAAGTTCAAAAATTCGAAAATTCGAAAATTCGAAAATTGAAAATAATTATCTCCTTATCAATTTGACTGGAATTCCATTAGACGGTCTGGCAATTGGCTGAAAAAAATAATTCCCAAACAAAATGTTCAGATTCTTTTTTCAAATTTTCAAACCTCCAATGCTGGCTTAGTCACTCCACACGGTTCTAAACGGAAGTTTCTCAAAATATGAGCAATCATGACTTTCTCATTAATTTGAGCGAACTTTTGTCCGACACAATTTCGAAGTCCAGCTGAGAAAGGAATGTAGTCAAAAGCGTTCCGTTTGGAGATTTCGTCTGGTAGAAACCGATCAGGATCAAAAATTGCTGGATTCGGGAACACTTCTGGATTCTTATGGATCAGCATTGGGGAGATGGAAATGTTTGCTCCGGATGGGATGGTGATGCCGTCTAGAAAAGTTTAGTTTTTAGAATTTTTCTTTGAAATTTCTAGTTTTGGAATACCGTTTTTTTTAACCGTAGATAATTTCCGTTTTTTGATACCTTGAAGGTGGGGAGACAAGAAATTTTTCGGATGTTTTTTTGGAGTTAGGGTATGCATTCCACCGTGACGGTGTACAACGCTTAAAGGTGGGGGGACATGAAAAAAATAATGTTCTCGCAATTACGTTTAAATATGCCCGTCGAGGAGTTGAACTTGTCGAGACAAGTATTGAAGG